TTTTCAAAGTTATTTTTGAAAAATTTCTTTTTATACTAATATGACATTGATGATATCGCCTTGAATTAAATTTTTTTGACACATATCAATATTTTATTAAATATTTATATCATTTCAAGTAAAATTGATTAATAACATAAATGTTAAATATTAAAATAATAAAAAATAAAATTTAGGTATCCAATTGGATAATTTATTATTTTTAAGTATCAAATTAACAAAAAAAAATGTAATTCAGACCATTTTACGTCTTAACCCAAAAATAAAAAGTAACGTTCCAATGATACCCCACTTCACTTTCAGTGAAAGATGAAAGAATCTCATGCCATCATCAAAGCAAAAGAGGCACGTAGAAAACAGAAGGTTGGTAGGCCATACCGTCTTATATACTTTCGACGCCAAACATTATTTTCTGTCCTCCATGGTGCCTTTTGATGTGTTGATTATTCATAGGCTAATGGAAATGGAAATTGCAACTTTCAACAAAGAAAAGATTGAATCGGCAAAATAAATATTATTTTATTTTTTATTATATCATTATATTATATTAGATTATCAAATTTATCTCTTAGATCTTAGACATTGGAAGTGGAAATATTAAATACGAAAGGCTTCGATTTTTTGTGAGTTGGATAAGTAACGAAGATGGTGACATGAGCATTCACCAGAAAGTTACTTTCAAGCTTGATTCCAAACAAAAAATAGTATAAAAATAAAAGTAACTATGAATTTTTTTTTCCAACAATAATAGCTGTCAAGTGAAAAGCAGAGGGGAGGGCCCCTTTTTTTTCGTTTTTTGTTTTTATTTTGTTAGAAGAGGTTTACCTTGATCTTGCTTTATTTATTTCATTTTGTTTCGGGAATAAAGATAGAGAAAGGATGAATAACGGAGCCCAACTCATTCGATCTCAATGAATACATTTTAAAATATATTTAAAAATAAAAAATTAATTAAAATTATAATTAAAAAAATAGATTGATAGTGGTGTTAAGTGTGTTGTAGTCATGTAACTTTTTTAGATCTTTAGGTGTTGTCTAGCCTGACTAAAATCGACGTTGCTTAGGAGGTAACCCAAATTTCATTATCATTGTTGATGCTTTTGTTATTTGTTTTCTTTATTTTGTTAGAACATATTTACCTTGATCTTACTTTGTTTATTTCATTTTGTTTTAGGAATAAAGATAGAGAAATGATGAATAATGGAGCCCAGCCCATTCGACCTTAATGAATACATTTTAAAACATATTTAAAAATAAAAAATTAATTAAAATTATAATTAAAAAATAGGTTGATGCTGGTGTTAAGTGTGTTGTAGTCAAATAACCTTTTCAGATCTTTAGGTGTTGTCCAGTTTGACTAAAATAAAGATAGAGAAATGATGAATAATGGAGCCTAGCCCATTCGACCTTAATGAATACATTTTAAAATATATTTAAAATAAAAAATTAATTAAAATTATAATTAAAAAGTAGGTTGATACTGGTGTTAAGTGTGTTGTAGTCATATAACCATTTTAGATCTTTAGGTGTTATCCAGCTTGACTAAAATCGACGCTACTTGGGAGCTAACCCAAGTTTCATTATCATTGTTGATGCTTTTGTTATTTGTTTTCTTTATTTTGTTCGAAAAGGTTTACCTTGATCTTACTTTGTTTGTTTCATTTTGTTTTAGGAATAAAGATAGAGAAATGATGAATAATGGGGTCTAGCCCATTCGACCTCAATGAAACAAAGATAGGGGAGTCTGCCTTGACCTTAAACTTTTGATTATTTTGAACTATTATGCAATTCAAGTGTAGGGGAGGGAAAACAATTTTGATTATTTTATGCTGAAATAGTTTTAGACACTTTTCAAAAGATTACCCTAAAATCTTTGTTTTCAAACAAAGTTGTTATGACTTTTATCATTATGTTGCAATCTTAGTTGACTTTTTACAAGTATTCATAAGTAACTTATATATGACATTGAGACAAGTATGAGCATAGTAAAAACATGAAATGAAATCATGGGTATACTATTTGTGGAATTGTGAATTGTCATATTTATCTTTGACATGCATGAGTCTTGGTAAAAAGTTATACGACTATAAAATTGTATATAGAATTGAGGCATAAGCATGACTCTAGAATTTGCCTATTCACCTCTAAGGTTATATCTTGGGCTATACTTGATTTAAGAATGATTTAGACCATCTTTAGACCATTTATGCCTTTTTGAAGCCCATCATGAATATATCATTTTTAGTACCTTTATTTTGAGCCTAATAAATCTTTTTTCTTATGGATTTACCCATATCCAATAAGCATAAGCCTTTTTCTTATGAATTACTTCTTTTCTTACCTAACCCAAGTTGCCTACGCATATTAGGGACAAGATAAGATAACAAATCATATTAGGAAGGTAGGAAGGCATAAGGAAGAAAAAAAAAGTGAAAAAGCCTAGAAGGCTATATGAAAAAAAAATGCCTCAACCTTGTCAAAGTTCTCAAGTCTAAGTTTAAGTAAGCAAAGGGTTTTATGCCTAAAATTTTTTTTCCTACCTTAACCCAAGCCTTACATTACAACCCAATAAAGACCTATTGATTTTGAGTCAAGTATGTTAGCTTACATTAGTAAGAGAAGAATGAGAAAAGTAAACATATGAAGTACGCTTTATCTATGATTCAATATGTGATGGCATGGTTTACATGCTTATTACTTAGGTTGCACGCATAAACTAGAGATAATTGATTTCACATGTGTGAAAGTGCAGCTACTTATGATTAAGTTTTATGTCTAATTATGTTCGCAATATCTTGACATTATACTATATGCATATATTGATAACTTGTGAAATTTTGATTGTGAGCACATCTATGTGATTGTTGGCATTAATACTTGCAGATTTTGTTTAAAGACAAGTAAAAAGATAAGTGTGGGGTGTGATAACCTTATGATTTATAGATATTTATAAATCATTGAGAGTTAAAGTTTTAAATTTTCTTGAATTTTGCTCAATAATGATGTAAATTGGTGATGTTCAAGTTTGCATAAAGAAATTTATTACTTTGAACATTAACACCAAATCCCATGCAACCCATGCAAAGGTGGCAAGGTGAGGTCATGAATGCAAAAGTATGATCCATGCAAAGATGACACGCAAGTCCAGCCCATCAAGAATCAAAATCAAGAATCCTTGGATTTAAAAAATATTTGGCCAATTGCTAGAATGAATGCAAGAATAATTCTGGTGATTTCATAATGCAATATGAGGTCATGAATGCAAAGGTATGATCCATGCAAAGGTGACAAGCAAGTTCAGCCCATCAAAATCAAAATCAAAATCAAAATCAAGTTCAATGAATACTCTCTCTCTCTCTCTCCCCCCACAGTTGCAAACTCATTTATTCTTTCAGCGTTTATTGCACTTATTTATTTTTGGCTAAAATCAACTTTTGGGGCTGAACTTTGCACAAGTTTTACTTTTAATTAGGATCTCATGTTATATCAATAACAATTTCAATAACACCAAGATTTACTTTAAATTAGGAATCTTCATGATATTCATTGTAATACGTTGTGTTGTGCCTTAATAATGGTTTGGTTTTATTGTCAAATTTTTTGGCTTTTGGCTGCTCTTTTTTATAAGATATATGTGTATGGCATCTTTGATGCTTTTACTTGAGTGTTTCTTGACTATGCATCTATTTTATTAAATGCATCTTAGCCAAGAAAAGAAAAACTTTTACCTGGCACTTATTTGTCCCATACATACTTTTGGAAATATATTTCGTAAAAAGGAATTATCTGTTTTTTTCAATACGTAATATCCAATTAAATCCTCAGATTTTACCTCCAAAATGTAAATAAGCACTGAATCTTTTATTGTATAAAATTAGACTATACGAACTTTTATTCTAATTATAATTATACTTATTAAATCTTACAAATAATAAATAATGTCCATTGATAGATATTTTCAAAGACAACCTTTTCTCAAATATTTGTGGTCATTCAAGCTCAAAATAATCTAAGTATTTTTTACAAATTAAATTATCTAACTTAAAAAATTAACAAAAAATTTATTTTATATTGTCAAGATTCTAATTATAATAAAATAAAAAATTTCATGCAATAAAATATCATAAACTTATTTCTATTTTTAAGTAAAGTTAGATGATATATTTGGGCATTATTCTTTTTTTTTTTTTAAAGACTATCTTGAATCAAGAAATTGGGTAGAAAGCAAATTTGATAGTGAGAAAGAGAGTAGTGATACTGACAAGAATAAATCATGCGTTGCCAAAATGGGAGCCCACTGCAGCTAAGGAACATAGAAGGTAGAAGAGACGGTTGAAAAACAGCATTACATTCGGTTTTAGCGACTGCTAACTTTGGGCATCGACGGAGCATATCCAAAGCAACATCTGATGAAAAGAAGATATTAAAAAAAAAAAAAAAACTTTTATACGCCGTCACAAAATATGGGATGTTATTCCACTGATTCAGTTTTTTGGGAATTAACATAATAATTTAACGTGATTTAATTACAATTACGAAATTTCAATTGAAATCAAATTAATTAATAAAAAATTAAATTTATCTAATTAAAATATTTAAATAAGATTTATTTATTTATTTATTAATGAGTAAGGATTTTACGATTATAATTAAACCACGTCTAAAATAACTTTCACAAAGGGAGTGTATAAGTTAAAAACTCCACAAGATATATTAAATAAGAAAGAAAGGGGTTTTATTAGTATTTGCCAAACAATTTGCTTCGAATACACAGACCGACGACCAAGGCTGCATGAGTTTGATTTTCTGGTGAGAGTAGATATGCTAGTGTAGTCTCGTTATAAAGGCAGTGAGTCATATCTTTATGGGCCCTATTACATGCGAAAATAATTGGAATAAGCCCATTGTTATCTGGAAAAGTAAGCAATTCCTTGTTCTTTCCGATCAAGCATTCGGAAATCTTGGGACCGGAGGAATCTTGTGCTTTCACGTCTTCTTCTGACATGTGGCGCAGCAATGCATTAACTATTTCCAAGTTACCTACCGTGACTGCTAAATGAATCGGCCTGCGGACAGTGGACATAAATACGTCGGTGTTCACTAAATGCGGTTTCGCCTTCAAGAGACGATTTGTAGCTTTCAAGTCATTTCTGTTACTAGACTAGATCAAGGCCAAAATGTCAGTGCGTTCAACAACCGCAGCCACTGTCACCAATTATGACATAATCAGTTTACGGACGGACTCACGTGTATATATATAGGGCGTCCATTTTCACCCTAAAGATTGAAAAATAAAAAACAAAAAATATCTCCGAAATTTTCTCTTGAATATTTTTTCGATCAATAAAATTAATAAATTCATCAAAAATTGAAAAATAAAACAATTGGAAAAATACTCCAAAATTTTGTCTTGAATATCTTTTTATTATTAATAATTATATATATACATATTATAAATACATACTTTTAAAAAAATCTTGAACATACTTTTAAAAAAATCTTGAATTCACCACTGATTTAGAAGAAGGAGAGTACATCTTGTTTATTTAAATGTTATTTAAAATAATTACATATTTTTTATAATATCTTTAAAAATATTATGCTTTTATAGCCAAACACGGTCCCTTTTTTTTTTTGCTTTTGAAAATAAATAATTAACAACAAAAGCCTCAAGTAAAAAGTAAATTGCATTCCTTATCCTCAAAATTCGAATTGAATATTTTTTAATCCTTAGAGTTTTAAAGTTACTTATTAATCATTACTAAAATGGTTCACCTGGGGATTTTCTTTTAATTTTTATAAAATAATTTTAAAATTTTATCTTTTTAAATTCTTGGACTTTTGAGATTAAAAATAAATAAAAATCTTATATCTAAAAGTTTTTTATATGGTTATTTTAGTTGTTATTGTTGTTAATTTTTTTTCTTTTGAAATTTATTAAAAATTCTCAAATTTAGTGTCTTTAGTTTTTTAATTTACTTTTTCATTTTCATGAGACTTTTTTTTAAAAAAAAAAATATTTAAATTCTATATTGGTAATTTTTTAATGAAATTTTTTTTTAATTTTTCGTTTAGGTTTTTTAGTTGATTTTTATGTAGGTTATTTTTTCAAATAATTAATGCTTTAATTAAATTTTTTTATATCTTAATATGTGACTGAGATTTAATATGTTGGCTAATCTTAGAATTTTTAAGATTGACTTCTTCATTGATGAGTTGAATATTTTTTTTTAGGATTTTTGTATGAGAAATTATCAAATATATTGTTAGTATAGTTTTTTAAGTCCACAAGCAAATTTAAAGGGGTAACACATATCCTTTAGGTGTTTCTTAAAATTTAAAAAAAAAAAAAACTAACTAAAAGAAGAAGTGAGACATGTAAATAAGGTATTTCCTTCCTCCTATTTTAATGTCTTTCTTTTTTTTTTTTACTCGTATTAAAATAGAAGTTTTGATTTTTGTGTATTTAATACTATCAACACAATTTTTTATAATATGAATGTGAACCATATTTTTATTTTAAAAAGTAAAACATAAAAAATAAATTTAAATATAAAAAATAACAGTATAAGGTCTTTAAAAATGAAAAAAAAATCATTTAAAGACATTAAAAAAAGGGGTGGACATTTAAAATTGGATAGATAAAGTACTTTTATTACATTGAATTATTAAAAAGACTTCTATTATAAATAAAAAGCTTTTAAATTTATAAAAAAAAAAAGAATATAATCATTTTTGTCAACCTAACGCTATTGTCATCACCATTTGATTTTTTTTTTTTGTATAAAGGAGATCGCAGCTTAAATATATAAAAAAATTATAAATATTGATATTTAAATTTTAAATTTATTGAATATCATATCATAAAATAATTATATGAATTAACTAATTTAAATACCAAATTCTCAACATTTGATGCAATGAAAATGCTGATCAATGAATTTTGCAGGTATTATTATGCATTAGAAGCAACAAATAGTTTTTTTTTTCTTTTTTATATAAGAAGCTAACGTTGACCAAACCTGATAATATTTATAGAAGCTAACGATTGAAGCATCCCAAAGCCCAAAAGATTAAAAAAAAAAAAATGAAGAGGAAAGTTAGAAACTTAATAAGTTGGGTGTTATAAGAGTGTTATGTAGGAGGGTTACACTTTTATAACATAATGCACCCAGAATCCTATTTTTTTATATATTAAGGCTTAGGAAAGGGTTGCTTGGGCTTGACCAAGTCCAAGTCTACTTTTACTAAATAATAATTAAAAATTGTATTTCTTTTGTTCAAGTTAAACTATTACAGTTAATTTTTTGGTCAAATTTTTTTAATTTTGATTTCTATTAGTTTAAATATTTTAATTAATTAATTTTTAAAAAATATATTTAAATTTTGTTGGAGAATTTTAAAATCAAATTTCTAAGTTAAATCTTTTTAGTTTTCTTTTTTTTTTTTTTGAAATAAACGTTAATAGATCTTTTGCTTTTTTGATGTATTACTTGTAAGAAAGTTAAGTGGTTTCTTTATTAATTACATGATAAACTAATTAAAAGATTTATTTACTAAATAGTTAAGTGGTTTCTTTTTGATTTGTTAGAGAATTTCTAGTGCATCTTTTCGTTTGGTTGCAATTTCCACTTTTTGTTAAGATTTTTATGTCAACTTATGGATCTTTGATAGGAACATGAAGAGTTGGCTCTAGTCAATACTCCAACTATAACTATAAGTGAAATAAAACAGTGTCAATTTGTGATTATGTATAATGCAAATTTTATGATATGTCTGATGTCAATTTGTCAATTATATGATCACTAAAATTTGGGATTGTTTAGTGTACTTAATATTTTAATTATCTTTGAAGTAATGAATAAGAGACTTTTATATTCAAACAAAAATTTTAATTATTTTAATAAAATTATTGTAGAACTGATACTAAAGAGTATAATAAACAAATATTCTATTTTGGCACAATTAAAAAAAAAGTGCAATGTTGTACACTTTGAAGGGCATAGCTAAATTTCAAACTTGCCTTGCGATAATAATACATACCATATAGAATGACATTTTCAAGGGTATTTTTATTTTGGAAGTTATGTGAACTGTTGGTAGTTTAGAATGTGGTGTATCCCACATTGAGTAGAAAAATCATTTATATTTGGTTTAAAAGAGATTACTTATATTATTTAAGTAACTGAGCTAAGTGTTGGAGTGGACTAAGTCATTTAGGCTTGCTAGGAGTTTTCTTAGTAGGTCAGACAATTTTAAAAGTCAAAGATAGGCACTTTAGCACAAAAGGCACCTGGGCTTATTTGGCAAATATATTTAATTTTTAAATTTTAAAAAAATTTATTTATTTTGAAATATTACTAATTCTGATAAATATATCTGAATAGAAAAACATGACTATTTAAATAAAGTTTATTTAAACAAAAAAACATGACTATACAGAATGTCATAATTTTTTAAATTGGCTTGATAGGCGACTATTCATTTATTATAAATAGATCTTTCTACCTGACCCATTTCACTATTTTTGATTTAGAGAGTTTTTAAGGCTTTGTTGTATCCTATAGGGCATAATTGCCTTTAAGATAGTGTTTTTCACACCTCAAAGCCATATTTTTTTTCTTTCTTATTATTTTTATTTTCTTAAATTTTCTAAAAATTTAAAGTCAATTATGGATACTACATCTACTGTTGTCCTTACTACTGTTATGGATTTGGAATCAAGCATGAAGGTTCATTTCAAAATCAAGATGTAATCAGACTTGATCATTTTAATAGATTAAACTACACTAGGTGAAAAGACAAAATGATTTTTCTGTTGATTGCATTAAAGATGTTTTATGTACTTGATCCAAATTTAGAACCAATTCAAAAAATAACTCCTGAAGATTCTAATGTTCTTAAAGCAACAAAAAGCAAACATGAAGAAGATGAACTAGTTTGTCTAGGTTATATTTTGAATTCATTATCTGACCATCTATATGACCTATATAGAAATATGAAAACACCAAAGAGATATGACTGCTCTTGAACACAAATACATGAACGAAAAGAAAGGTGTGGATAAGTTTCTGGTTTCGAAATACCTTTTAATTTTAATAACTGATAACAAACCAATTCATGGACCAAGTGCGTGAGTTACAAATTCTAGTTTCTAAGTTAAGTGAGCTAGAAATTAAGGTTTCTAATTTCACTTCAAGTTAGAGCTATTTTGTCAAAACTTTCTTCTTCTTAGAATGGATATAAGAATAAAGTTTTACATTCAATAGATACTTTCATTATTAAAGAATTTTTATACTCATATATAGATTGAAGCAAAAATCGTGCAAGAGATGATGCACTATTTTTTTGAAAGTTTCAATGTGAATTATGTGAATGGACAAAATTCTAAAAAAACTCATAAGTCTTCTAGTAAATTCAAATAATTTTAAAGTCAAGAAGAATAGATTTAAGAATCCAAATTTAATAAGAATAAATGTGTTCCATTATGGAAGAAAGGACATTTGATTAAAGATTACAGATTTAAAATGCTAGAATTAAGATTGGTTCTAGTTCTGAAAGCAAAACAAATCTAGTTGAGCAAGAAATTAATAAACTTGTTGCAATGGTGACTGACATACAAATTGGAATGATCATCAAAGTTCATATGGCTACTACAAATAAGTCATCTGATTCATGGCTAGATTCTGGTGTAACAATTCATATTTAAGACAACCAATAACAGTTTAAGATTTATGAAGAATACAACCATAAAACATCCTTATGGAAAATCATGTTTTTACCAAAGTGATTGAAAAAGGAACGGTTGAATTGAAATTCACCTCAAGATAGAAACTAACTTTACTTAATGTTTTTCATGTTCCAGAGATTAGAAAAAGCCTTGTATCTATAAATCTATTATGTAAGAAATGCTTTAAGATTGTACCAGAGTCTAATAAAGTTACCAAAAATGGTATACATTGGAAAAGGATATTCCCATGATGGTATGTTTAAACTAAGCATTGATGAAATAAATAATGTTTCTGCTTATATTGTTGAGTATCCTTTTTTATGGCATGCTAAATTAGGACATTTATCTGATCAAAATATGAATCATATAACTAAGCATGATATATAACATACTAGAAAAATTATAACATTAAATGTGAAATTAAAAAACCTTTTCCTAAAGCTAAAAGAAATACAAATTTGTTAGAACTCATACATTCTAATATTTGTGAGTTAAATGGTTCATTAACAATGGGAGAAGAAAGATATTTTATAACATTTATAGATGATATTCTCATTATACTTTTATGTATCTAATGAGAACAAAAGATTAAGTATAATTTAAATAATATAATCAGTTGTTAAAAATCAAAAAGAAAAAAAATTAAAATTCTTAAAATTAATAGGGGTGGTGAATATTTTTTAGATTCATTTCTTTTTTTGTGAGATAATGGAATTATTCATCAAAAGACAACCCCCTATACACCTCAACAAAATGGTTTAGCCGAATGAAAAATAGAATCTTGGTTGATATGGTAAAATAGTATGT